TGCTCAGGCAGATTCACGATTTCAAACTTATAATTAGAAATTATAAGTCCAGGTTTCCTCGCGATGTTTTCTTACACCGTATGCCAGTGGTGTCTAACTAGAAAGTACATATAACTCGGAAAAAGTGACTTTGGTACTTGCCAGGTTTCGAACCGGCACCCTCATGCATGAGAAGTGGGCATCTTAACCTCCGGGCTACCACAACAATTAATTAATTTGTTTGTCTATCTTAATTTAAGTAGGTTTATAACCAGGAAAAGAATGCCTTTACACACGTTACCATCGAATAGTACCATCGTAGTACATTCTGTGCTGTTTAGGTATGTCTTGAGAGTCAGTTTTATAGAATCTGAAGTATTGGCTAGCCAAGCTGAAATCTCTCACACACCTACAAACTGATAATTGCAAATGTTATGGTAAAGATTACTTTACCTAATTTAGTATTAGTAAGTATTAAGTAGGTTAGGTAATTGTTATGTACAATCACTCTATGGTACTTATATTGCTAGGAAATTTTCGAAAACCGCTGAGCGGAGTATTTTATTCGAAATAAATTTTTTTTTTTTGTTGATAGCTGTTATACCTATATGAAGAGGATGATGATGTAATTACCCTTGTTCTTGTAGTAAAAAGTTACTGAAAATGCATTTTTTACCTTCAGACGATGTCAGAGAAAGAAAAGCAACGGTTCCATGAGATGGCTGAGCAAGATAAGAGACGGTTTGACCTGGAGATGCAGAACTACGTGCCACCTAAGGACATGAAAGTGCGCGGACGCAAGCGGCAACAAATGAAGGACCCTAACGCGCCCAAGAGATCGCTGTGAGTTATGGTCATGAGTCTTTCTTTAACCCGGTTTTAATATCTATGCCCCTGTGTATCAATTCCTAATTAGACGTTGAGCGTGTTCAGGTCTCATTTTACTCCATTTACTTCTTTCCATCATCATTAGAGACTTATCGTGTAAAAGACAGAAAAACTTTAATATCATCCTTTTTTTGCACTCTGTAATTGACATAATGGCTGATAAACCATTAAATCAATATCCATTATTCCGGTTCTAGTCAATAAATGTGTATAAACATCAACAGATCGGCATTCTTCTGGTTCTGCAACGACGAGCGTTCGAAGGTGAAGGCAAATAACCCTGAGTATACAATGGGTGATATTGCCAAGGAGTTGGGAAGACGCTGGGCCGCCGCTGACCCGGAGACCAAGTCAAAGTACGAGAGTTTATCGGAGCAGGACAAGGCGAGATATGATCGAGTGAGTACTCATTTACTTGAATTTTAAATGAATTTACTACTACAGGTTGTCTGTAAATCACATGGAACACAACTTGGGCTTTCCTGATGATAAGAGCGTTCCGCGCGCGCCTCAAAGAGCCAATAGACCACAACAGACGGGGCCCTAAAGGGCTGATGTTCAGCCGGGGTTGCGTGGTATGCGCAATGAGGCACCGCGACCTCGGCCCAGAGCAGGAGAAGGAACAGGGGGGTTTTTAGTGAGTAAGAGTCTGACACTCCCTCCCGCCCAGCCCTGGGAGAAGTCATTTGATGATTTTCCCCTTACAAAAAACAAAATAAGAGTCCTCTTTGGTATTTGTGTTTGAATAATGAGGGGCCCAATGCTTATTCCTTCTTCACAAGGTTTTTACGAAATTGGGATTATTTCATATCCACTGTTGATTAAGTTAAAGGACATGTTTGATCTAATTAGCTAACAAAAATCAATACTTGATTTATTGAAATTAAAGATCCAATTCCTACAAAATTTTTACTTTTTTAATCATACTGTATAAGCACAGATAGAAAGTAACCTTATAGGGTTATTACCTACATATTTAAATATCATTAAACCTAATTTCCTATATATCTTATCAGTAGTTTTAGCAGACCTCCAAAAGGAGCAGGTTTTTCAATTCGGCCGTATATATTATGCTTTTTTCTTCTTGTTTGATCGTGGAGAACTTTGTCTTTTAAGAATCAATTCTGTAGGTGTTTTTTTGACATATATAACAAAGAAAACTAACAATCAAAATCCAAAATCCTTATATTCATCGTAACAAAATTTAGTTTTTTTAAATATTACTAATAATCCGAAGTATTTGTATGAAAAATATATTTTAAATGGCTCCCGTAGAAATCGCCCATTCTTTGTCCGTTTTAATAATATTATGTCTGGCATTTCCAAATGTAACAAAATACGGTTCGTTTCTTGTACCTGCCGATCGGGCGGCAGGTGCGAATCATTTCTTTATGTGATAGCCACGTTTGGTGCTCGAAATGAAAAAAAAAAGCCGTTCTGAATACTGAGATTCCCTTAATAAAGGGGCCTTATATTTATGGATATACATATATCTCTTTCTGAATTGTATAGCAAGGCCTTTATTGTATAAGACCTTTGTCGCAATTATATGACTTAGGTAGTAAGTAGTAGTTATTTTTTACAGCTCTTAATCTGATTTATCATACTTATTTGTTTAGACTCATAAATATTGTCAAATCTACTTATCTACTGAAAATACTGAAATTTAAGTGTTTTGCATTTAGTTGTTGTGTTTAGGACGTTGTTATGGATACACAAAATACCATTTCCGAATATAAAATTTTCATAATGAAGTTGTAGGTAATCTTTGAAAAGTTTGACAACTATTTCTTTACTTAGGACCTAAGTTCTTTTAGATGTTTTGAGCAATTAGTGCTAAACGTGTTGATAATTTCGTAGGAGATGACGGCGTACAAGAAGGGTCCCCTGGCGCTGACGCAGCAACAGGCGGCGGTGGTGCCGGACGTGGACGAGGACGGCGACTTCGACGCCGAGGAGGAGTACAAGTGAAGTCCTCCACACGCCGCGCTGGGATCCTGGCCGACAGCACAGCCATGGCAACAGTCCTCACAAACCAAACTGTTCCTTGTGCACTAAATTTTAAAGTCTACCTTATAGCTACAGTCGACCCCTAACTTTTTGCCTACAATTTTATATACTCGGATATTTTTATACAACGACTGGTCATTTGTACAGATATTCGATAGCGGACGACTGCTTCTTATATACCTAATAATACCCTCGTGGAGGTTTCTATTTTTTTTTGTTTGGAAAGTTTTACCTGGCAAACTTTGGTTTGCTCAGTGAGAACTCTGAAATTATAAGTATAATTTGTTGTTGTTAGTCTATGGTTAGTTTTCTGTTTCGACATTGTTTTTGTTGTCGAATATTCTAATTGTAGGTGCGATCATAAAGTGGATTCGTCGCAGCCATGCCGAGCGGCGGCGTGGCTGGCGATGCTTCGTCGAGCAACCTGTGAATTGTCTTTAGGATCGGGTTTCAAGGGGCCTTATAATTTGAATCATGTAACAGCAATAGTAAATATGTACGGAACAAAATTAGGTTAAATGAGTCCATCGAAAGAAAATTAAAATTAAGTGGATAGTATTTGAAGTTAGAAAATTTAGATGTAAGTTTGAAGCGAGTGAGTGAGATTTTGTTATTCGTGATGAGAAAATGTATAGTAAATAAATTATATTCCTTTATTTACCTTAGATTATTTTATGTTATTCATATTTCTTTTACATAATAAGATCTTGTTTAAATTAATTAAAAAGATACTATAAAGACATTCGATTCGTTGTTTTGTGGCCATTTTGTTTGATCATTATATTGATCAGTGAAGAATTGTAAATTCTTGTTTAATGAAATTGTTTAGTCGCCGGATAGTCGTTTGGTTTACCATTTTACATAGTAACGTATGTATCGTGTGTACAAAGAACTGCAAGGACTGCTACCCGTGATAGTACTTAAATTTGTAGGTCCCATAACCGTCTATAGAGTAAATGCTAGAGAATCCTACCTTTGCTTACTTGTATTGTTAAATGTCATTTGACTGTTTTTATTTTTTCAAATGTTTGTTTTTGATGAAGTCTTACACGATTAAGCAATTATTTAAGCAATTCCACGAAATTAGAACCGTGTCGTATTAAAGTCTAGTGGAAAGGAAAATGAGAAAAATATTTTAAGTCGTTCTTAGTGTAATAGGGGCGATATTGTTTTGAAATTGATAAACGCTCACTGTACAAAACAATATAGTGAATCTTTTACACAAACACTGGTCTTTGATTTTATTCTTCCTTTCTAGCACAACCTCAAAGCTGGTACTGGAACTGAAATGGTAAAAATAAAACAAAAATACACAAAAAATCATTTGAAACATTTTATTTTATAAAAATAAACGTTTTGACGACAAATAGTTACAATATTCGGGGTCCTTACGAATTCAACTCATAACAGAGTTCCCACAAGAAATGTTTCAAGACATTGTAAAAAATTCAGTTTTTACAAAAGTTACTTTTTATCTTAAAACATTAACAACATTACATTTTTTCACGTCTAATTCTAATAACGGTCGATCACTTTTCATTTTTTACGTAATACAATTAATGGTTAAGAAAATAAATATTACCTATTTTGAAAATGTAGGTACATTCAGCTACCAATTTTGATTAATACATAAAACAGCAACTGATCTCACACACTGCTGTAATATTTGTAAAAGAAAACAATTCTCAAAGAATTACGATTATAATATCTTACAATTATTATCTACGAAAAATTATATTTAATTAGGCACTCAGTGTACACGATTAGGGGAGAGGAAAAAGATAATTAAATTGTCACTAATTATTTTGAGTGGTTTGTATACCCGGTAATAATAGTCAATCTACTCCTGAAGGTCACGCTTAGTTAATAAATTGTTTGTCAAATAGCCAATAGAATTGAGAGACGTGGGCGCCGACAGAAATATTTCAAAGCCTGGTGTGTGGTGGAGCTACAGAACATTTTTTTGTTTTCTAAAGTGACATTGTGGATGTAACATTGACCACAAATATCTCATATAGTACATTACTACCTACCCAATTATAATTTTCGAGGATGAGATGACAAAGGTTAGATCTTGTCCTTATTAGCGTTCTTATTTAAAAAATAACCAAAATTTCTTTTCCTTTGTGCCTTTGATAGTCCGTGACCTTAGCAGTCGTAGGATATTTATCGGTACTGAATTCTCCATGTGTCTTCCTTGATACTTGTTATATGTGCTTTTTGAAGGCAATCTGCCGGCGGCCCTCATAACAATACTTATATGGAATACAATTTGGGACGTTGTTATATTGTCATCTCCTAAAATACAGTACAAAAATCAAGTACCAAATTCCTATAAAAAGTCTATAAAACATAACAGCAGTGTGCACCGTAGATGGGTAAGTATGAACTCATAGTGAAATGGTAGATTAACACAGATTGGCAAGATTCCGAGTAGATACAAACTGAATTAATTTGGACTTCTTTCGCATTGGTGGTTGATGGCCTCCTGGTCTCTGTGTTCACTGGTTACTCTCCAAAGACTGCTGGACGGTGAGCATGTGATTATTTGAACTGGTAATGACTGATCCTTTATACAAATGTTTTGTTTATCTAGGCAACACGATGGTTAATTAGAGATGGATTCGCAGCGATGCGGGGCGCCTCACTAGTGCTGCGCCCACGCCTAATCGAAGCACGGGGTCATTCAACTTTAATTTCATGTACAATGCAAATGTATTTCATACTCTAACTATAGTAAATAACCGAAAATTTTATCGAAACGAGCATTGTGACTAGAGAAACTTAGATAATTAATTTACTGGAAACAGTTTATACACTTCTATTATGCTATTTCCAATTATCTTTTAAATACACACATATTGTAATTGTCCATACATTCCGTATACCGGGCTAATGACAAAAGCTCGTTGAAACATAGTCTACATAATACCTTTTTATATATGGCATACACAATTATAATTAATGATGTCTTTAACTAATATCACGAAACGCCGTTATGCAAATCAAGTTTTACCTACGAGATCAATAATTTTATTACATCGTTTGGCGTAAACACTTCGTTCAGTACCGTTACAAAATGGATAGTTCCATAAGTGGAGAGGGAAACAATCGAAACAAAGCGACAGTAAGGTGAAATACAATACATTATGTCCGAGTCTGATAGAAGGTAATACCCTGATTGTTCGAAGAAATTATAAAAATAATCGATAGGCAGATAAACCGCGACTGGCCGTTCGTTCAGTTTGGTGTTCAAAGAAGATATTCCTAAGCGAAATGTTATTTACATGTCGTATCGGGGTCGGTGTCTAGTACAGCGCGGTCGGCTATGAGTCGTCGGCCTCGTGCGGGTCGGGGGGCTGCTGGGGGATGTAGTTCCACCGGGCGCGGACCTCGGTGGTGGCGCTGGCGGCGCTGGGCGGCGCGCTGGCGGGCGGCGCGGGCCCGGCGGCGGCGGCGCGGCGCGCGCGGACGACCGCCAGGTGGCGCTGGATGTAGTGCTCGTGCGGCGCCAGCTGCGCGGCGCGCGCCAGGCACGTCTCGGCCGCCGCCAGCCGGCCGCGCTCCACCGCCACCACGCACAGGTTGTGCAGCGCCTGCACGTTGTCCGCCTCCAGCTCCAGGATGCGCCGGTAACACTGCGCACGATAAACATCACACGTTATACAAACCGTTTCAAAATTATGTAGGTACAGGTACTTTAAATTCTACTTCTATCCAGGTCATCCATAAGTTCATTTTTACTTTAAATACGACTGTCTCACAATATGTTTTTCTCTTGAGTCGTGGGTGCGTTTACGAACATTCGTGTTCCCTGACCCATAGAGCTGTCACGTACGGAAATCGAACCCGAGACACGTTGTGCAGCAGGCGGTTGCCCAGCATCAACACGCCAAATGTTGAGTTAATATTATTATAATACCGATACAAATAAATACAAACAATACTACAACACAATTCTTGTAGTGTTCGGTACCAAATCCGATGTTATAATTTCTCAATAGTCATTAAACACAAATAAGGCACGTTGCAAGGAGCTGCTGGACTCAAGCTCTCTTACTCCCAATCAACCGAGCAGGAAGCAGTCGTGGGGCCTATGTTCAGTAGTACACGTCTCCTAGCTGCCATGAGGATTAACCCATAGTATGCTGAAACGCAGACCCACGCGAGATACAATGTGTTTTCTATTGTTTGTCATATACCTACCGGCAGACAAGAGGTTAAAGTACTTAGGTAACGGAAAACAGTTGAACTTAATATCATTCTACTCACACTCTCAGCAGCATCTAAGTCTTTGACAGAATTGATGTAGATGTCTCCAAGAAGCACCAACGCCTTCACGTGGTCGGGATGATGTCTGACTAACTGCTTCAGGAAGGGGGCAGCTTCCAATGGCCTCCGTCTATCAGCTAGTAGTAATGCCAGGTTGAAGAGTGCAGATCTAAAGTCTGGCTTGAGGTGGACAGCTGCCCGGAACCATCGCTCTGCACATTCCGCGTCCCCTTCATCCATACACACCATTCCAAGGTTGAAGTGTACTCGCTCGTTTGTTGCTGTAAATATTGAAACGGTTTTTAATGATAAAGTTGAGCTAATAGGTTTTGCAAGCGTTAGAGATCCTTTTTTTATTAAAACCTATTACTTATTTTTAAAAAACATTGCCCCTCATTAAGATTTTCTCCTGTGTTGTGGGTGCGTTTACAGACATACAATTTCACATACACATCACGCCCAGACTCGGAACAACAATTTGTTGACCACACATAGAGTTGTTCCGTAAGGGAATCGAAACCGCGACACGTTGCGCCGCAATCCAGCCACCGCGCCAACCGTGCAGTCAATTACTTGACGCTGAGGACAGCGCTGGAATAAATTTTGTGATCAGGTACTTTCCCCTACCACATAGCCACTATGAGTATTACTTGCATCAAAAGCAATTTAAAGACACAATAATAAATACTGTTTGGTCCGCAATTCTTCGATGTGCTTGCTATTACTAACGAAATATTCTTTCCTACTTTAAGCAGTGACAAAATACCTTTTACGCCCTATTACATTTATACGATGTATGTATGTTTGTTATTCTTTCACGCGAAAAGGGCTGGACCGATTTGGTTGAAATACGGTGGTACTTAACATATATGTTTTTTTTTCAACATATTCTCGGGCGGCAGCTAATAAGTTCATATATTTTCTTACCATCTTTATCGAGTAGTTTGAGTAGCCGCTGTCTCGCCAGGTGTCTCAGGTCTGCAGCCCCAAGTTCTTGTAGGAGTATCGCAGAGTTGAGGAGTGCTTGTTCGTGCTCCGGTTCCAACTCCAAGGCTTTGTCTAAGTACGCTAGAGCTTGGGAAGGTTTGCCTTGTTCTAAGAGGACTACTCCCAACTGAAATAAAAGAAGGATTGAGTTTGATGATTATGATTTAGATGGGATGATATTATTTTATAGATGTGGTGAGGTTTTAATGGGAGTTATTAAGAGTATTGAAAGCGTTTATGATGTGAGTTTCTATACATTCTTTCAAGTCCAAAATCATGATAGGTAACTACAGCACCAATTTTAATGAAACTTGGTAACATATACTAAGATTATCAAGGTCTAAAAACTTAATTAAATACGTTTTCTTAGAGAGCAAAACCAAGAGTTACGACTTGTAGTTGCGTTGCATTTGCATTTGGATTTGGGTATTTGGGTTTCGGAGACTTATGGATTGGGAAGCGTTGTGGGGTAGGGGAAGGATTGGGCCTAAATTTCATCTCTCTGTCTGTCTTTCTAATACTCCAGGTGTTAAACCATATTTCGTATTCGTATAAGTACAAAGTTTCATTAACATCGGTTCACTAAGTTCCAGGGACTTTACAATTCGAAAGGAAACCCATGCCGTCTATACTGTTAAATAATTCATCTTTCATATTTTCTCTTGTGAGAAATCCATCAGATACTTACGTTATAGTAAATGTCCGGGTTCCCGCTGTCATACAGCAAAGCCCTTTCATAGACCTCCTGTGCCTCCTTCGTCCTATTTAATTTGATTAAAATATCTCCTCTATTTATGTAGGCCTGAGTATAGTCCGCTCGCATGCTTATAGCTTGTCTGTACAGCATGTCTGCTTCTTCTAATCTTGTTGCGTTCTTCGAGATCAAGTTGGCAAGATTCAGGAACACATTTAAGTGGTTAGGGGCTATTCTTGCTTGGTATGATTCTCCAGGTTTGGCTTTCGGAAGAAGAGATTTGGCTTTAACGTAAGCGTCTTCAGCTTCTTGGTATCTTCCTAGATGATTGTAGGTCCTGCCAACATTGATGTGGGCTCCGACATCATCAGGTTGTACACTGACTGCTGTGTTGAAGAACTCTAGTGCTTCTGCGTATTTTCCTTCGGCTTCTAAGGCATGCCCTACGTTATTGTACAATTTGGCGTTGTTGCGGTTAACCTGCAAAGACATTCCCATTTTATCAATAGAGTTAAGGTCCTCGAAAGAGTCTGTTATTATATTATGTAAGTATTTATGCAATGTGTACAACAAAACTATAAGGTGTTTGTGAATAGAATCCTAGAAAGTAAACGTACCTTCAGTCCTGAAGCAAATATTGAATACTCAGTCTTCCAATCCCAATTCCTCATGTAAGTTTTAGCGCTGAATGCTAGGAGGAGAAATATGAGGGCGCTGGCGGCGAGTTTTGCTCGTCTCTTAGCAAGAAGTCGCCAGCCGTGGGCCACGAGGAGGCACCAGCCCATGGAAGGCATGTACAGAACCCGCTCAGCTACCACGAAGCCCACGGGGAAGAATAAGTTTGATGCTGGCAGAAATGGTAGCACGAGAAGTGCTAGACCCTGGTGAGAGAAAGAGAGAAAAATTAAGACATTGTTCAGAAATTACATAATCGTGTCAATTGGAGTTACACAGCTGTTAGTTGAGAAGGTACCTTAATTTTTTGACAATATCTGTTGTCTTTTCGCTCTAACAGAAGAATGTGTTAGTTGGTTGTCAAACTAACATGGAATTGCGTATTTAGTTATAGATATACTTTTCAATATATTACCTAGTGAGATGTACAATTTTTTTTGGGTTGCTATGCTTTTCACAGTTAATAGTAAGAAAGTCGTTATCCTACTAATATCCTAAATATGAAACTTTGTAAGAATGGATGGGCGTATGTTTGTTATTCTTTTCCGCCAAAACGGCTGGACCGATTAGATTGAAATTTATCGTGTACATAGCTGATACTCTGCTACGGCTAGTTTTCAATAAATTTGGTTCGGTGTACTACTACCAGTTTCAGCAATTTTGTTTTAATTCCTATATTAGTGTGGAAAATGTTTTACTTACCATAGAAAGAGCAGAAGATCTTGTCCTCAAAGCGTGTATGGTGGCTGCCACGATGATGATGAAGAGCGTCAAAGTAGCGATGTTGCGAGGGTCACGCCAACACTTGAGTAGTGCTACGGTGCCCATTGTCCAGTCACAGCATAAGGCTTCAGGTAGGGTCAGTAACCAGGCATTCAGAGCTGGTAGGTAGGCGAAGGTTAGATGTCTGTAAAAAGAAGGAGCAAGTTGAACTAAAGGGGGATCTTTGTAGGCATCCTAAGCGATGATGATAAATAGTCTGGCAAACGATCTGAATTATTACCTGATGGTAAGCAATCAACGCCGCCAATGGACACCCGCAACAACAGAGGAGTTACGTGTGCGTTGCCCTAGTTTTGGGGAATAGGGATTACGAGATTTATGGATTGGGACAGGGGAAGAATAGGGCTCCTCTTGTTTTGGGCCTTGGGAAAAATTGGAGATGAAACAAATCATCTACATATTGTAGTAGTTAAATACTAATTTGTCATGACTCTGAGTTTTTTAAAACTTTGTAAATACCACGTGCTATCCACATGGACTGAGGTAGATATTATACATGGCCAGGGCCTTAATGAAATACTTGCATATAAAACGTATTACGATTTTTAATCATTGATTTTCATTGGTCATTGACTCATTGGCGAGTTTACAAATAAAATCATATTTACATTTTGTAGTAGGATTTAGTAACTTGATGAAATTGTGACCCAAGTCTAAAAGCCAGATAGACAAAAATGTTATTCTTTGAAGCTGAATTTTGTCAAACAAAAAGCCTTCCATCATCAAACAATACACGATACAAACTCATGTTTTGTCTATTTAAGTGAATTTTGCCATAAGCTGAAAATCCTCGTGGTCGTTGAACAATAGCATCTGAACGAGTAAGGTCATAAAATTAATGTGGCTTAGCTTGGGGCCGGCCGTTTCACAGCTAGTGTGCTTGTCAAAGCCAATTATCCTTATTACAAGGCGATAAAGACACAGGCAGCCTCGCTAGGCTATTAAAGAAAATACGAGTACATGCTCGTGAAAACGCAACTCGTTTGTTATATTTTGTTCATTAAAGATGGACTGTAAAAAATGTTGCGATGTTTTATGTAAGTTTGACTGAAATGATATGTCTGTGTAACATTTGGCAACATAATATTATCAATTTTAAGAAACTAATGCCAACACACATCTCACGTGTGGGTGCCATAACTTTCGGAGCACCACGACATATAAAGATAATATATAAATGCTCAAGCTATCGGGAGAAAAATAATAAGTAAATATGGAGAAAATATCAGTAAAGAAAGTAATAAATTACCTCGCAGGCGGGGGTGCAGCTCCAGCAGGGTTGTCGAATCTCGTGAAAACTGGCAACTGCGCGCCCATGACGTGGAGTCGTGCAGCTAGTAAAGCAAGCGTGGCGCAGCATACAGTGGCAACCCTGCGTGCAGCTTCGCCGCATGCACATCCCCAACCAGAGCCTTTGCCCCAGGCGTCGACCCACGACCAGCGACTCACACCTCCTGAACTTCGACGCTAGATAAACAAATTGAGTAATTAGTATTAAATAAATGGTGTAGACGAAGATCGCTATTATACGGAACTTTCTATACCCAAATATGGTTATGAAAATGTAGGCAAGACTTAAATGTCTAAAAATCCAATGTAGAATGTACAATAAACATTTTGGTCCTAAATTTCTTAACAAAGAAACCAATTCTTAAATATGTACCTTTTACATATTATATATATATATCAATTATATTATACATTATATCCATCTACAGGTTAAAAAAAATAAATGAAATCCGATTTCTAAAGGAAACGTTTCGATTGAAAGAAATCGATTTTTTATCCTTTAATTTTTTTACTAATTACTAATTTTTTACTTTAGTAACCCATGATCAAGTATAAACTTACTTTTTGAGCTACGAAGAGTTCGTAGACGACGCACACGCCGGTCACCGTGATACCTTGCTCCTTACACAACATGGCCACCCCAACGCATGCTGTACACGCTACCACGTAGCGCCAGTCTGGAAACACCAATGATCTGTTACTTATCATGCATCCTTAAGAAGTATATGCATCGCCATGTCGATCTAAGTAGGTACTTTTAGATGTCTAATTGTTTTTATAAAATCAATATTGGCCAAAATGTTTGCCATGTGATTGTTCGGAATCTTTTTTTTTTTTATAATGTAATGTTTAAATCGAATCTACTTAATACTAAAAAAATCTGAGTAATCATCACTTGTAGGCAGAAGCTAGAAGTTTTAGGCCATATACTTTTTTTTATAAAATAAATAATAATTGAACAAGTATTATCCTTAAATAAAATCACACTTATAGTTACAGAAAATAGGTAGGAGTGTTTCGACTAAAAAAACTGTAACCAACTTATTATTTTTTCCTATTAATTTCTTAAATAACAAAGTAAAGTTGGATGTATACGTAACGTAACAATATAATGAATATTGAGCATCGAAGTTATTTAATAACACGACAAAAACACAACTAAAACTAAAAGAATTTTAATAAAACTTTTCTCATTCATTCTTGAAATAATGGAGAACTGATCGGTGGGTAAGTTATTTATATTTGCGCTTGTGAGTGAAGAAATAAATAATAAAATATGTACGGCTCGCTACCCAGTACCCTGCAAGGATCAAATTCGGGCGCATGCCTTCCCATCCAATATTGATGTTTGAAACGTACATAAAAATATGAGAGGTAAATAAAGAAATATCAGAAATTTTGGACATCTTGCCCTAAATTACGGTTGCGGCGTAACGTTAAGATAAGTTGTAAATTAGGAAGCTTTGGCATAAGAGAGAAATGTATGTTATGGAATGTAATGTGTTAAAGGACAACACGTCATTAGCAATACAAGTTGTAATATATACAGACAATTATCGCTTAAAAAAAATGATGTGCAAAACTGGAGGGGTACCTCTTAGGGGCCATGTAGTGTGATATATTTAATTTTTTTATTAATATTTGCCCCACACTAGGATTTTCTCCCGTATCGTCGGTGTGTTTACAAACAGACAAATTCACATAAACATCACACCCAGACACAGAACAACAATCCGTCGGTCACACAAAGAGTGGTTTCGTGCGGGAATCGAACCCCTCAACGCCCAGCCTAGCCACGTCGCCAACCTTGTAGTCAAAACAATATTCTGAGCGACATGAACAAGTCTCAAATTGACGTTGGAAATCTGTTTGCAAAAACGTTTGCCGACAGTTCTCCGTTGTTGACACGACGGAGTGTTGGACGCAGTAGGTACGTCCATTCGCTTTATATGTCAAGTTCCATTGTTCCTATCTACTGTTATATTGATAAAATTTTCTTTAACGTCACCTGTGTATCTTCTCCGTTGTGAGGCGCGCGCGTAGCACAGAAGCGCGCCGAGGAAGAATAGTGATGATAACATCTCTGCGCGGCCAACCACACCCGTCACCTGTCAACAATATTTTTATATAATAAATAAAAAGATTATTATTTTTCTATTAGAACTTATCAGTTGATTCTGAGCAAGTCGCAAATAAAAATAAAGCCAGTGTTTTTTTTGCGTAAATATGTACATTTTAAATATTTGAAAATGGAACTTCATCGTGCCTTGACGAATGGTGCTTTAAAAAGCAAATGTATGTTTTTTAACAGCCAACCTCTCACGCCTAGTTGTTACTTACAAGCCAGAACATTACTCTTTTACGACGTTTCGAAGTAAAACCTTTATTTTACAACGCGAACTAAGAAAAAAGGGACTAGTTCAGAAGCCGCCGTAAAGATTGCGAAAATAGCGGGGACCGTGGCACAGTCTATAAAATAGCAAACGTGGTTAAGGCTTACGGGGCCCGCAGTAGACTCGCGTTCACGACTTCATTACACCGAGCGCACTACAAACACATTTTCTCTACTCTGTGATCCTCGCGAAATAGCTTCACAACTTTACTTAGACAAGAGGACTTTTGAAAAGTAAATAACTTCAGGAACGTAGCTCAGACATGTCATTAAAGTAGGTAGCCATAGATATTTTTTATTTTTACACATTTGGCTTTTTGTGAGGAGAAAATCATGAATTTTTTAGGCAGTAAGAGTCTGACACTTCCTTTTAGACTCTACGCTCCCGTTCCTTCTCCTTGTCTAGGCCGAGGCCCTTATTGCCCAAGCCCCGCAAATACAAAAAAAATAAGTATTATAAAAAGCATAAGATGCTTCACCAAAATGGTTGGAAATATTACTAATATGTACATGTTAAAGTTTAATATTTAAAAATGGAACTCATAAGCACTTTTACGGTACCTCTATTACGTTTAAATTTCAAATATGACGTAGTAAAAACCGAATTTTTCTAATTGCAATGCTGAAATAAACAAAAAGTTTAAAGATCGTCAAGTTTACAACTGGCAGGACGTAAAATTTGCCATGCGAGTTCATGAGAATGGATGCCATAAAGTATCGTAGTGACGGACGGTCGGCCTTTACAGCCACAGGTATTGTGCCATCATTCAGCATCCGTTTTTCAGAAGGAAATATAAACATGAGTCCCTCTGTGCCTCACAAATCGTAGCTTCGTTGTTTCTGTGACATATTTTGAGGTGACTATGGCCGGTCATAAATGCAATGGAAATAATGACGATTGTGATAGAAAGGGAAAAGTAGTAATTATTAGCTAAGTTTTGTCCCGTGAGGAAATACCTCACAGCAATTCCAAACGAAAAGTGAGGAAGAAAGAGGCGATTTTTAGTCGGTATTTGAAATTGTTTGACCCATCAAAAATAGTTTGAACATAAATCCTACATACATGATTGTATTTTTTCTTTGCAGAATAATAAAAAGAATAGATAATGATAAATGTTTTTTTTTGATTAAAATGAATGACGTGAAAACGAAACTTTAAAATTAACATTTAAAATGTGAAGCAACATTTTTTTTTCTTTACTTTGACTAACTTTTGACTGAGAAATGATGACTAGCGTCGGCGTTGGTTGCGCGACATTTGAGTCCCATTGTGACTTAAAACTGATGGAGCTTTTCTAAGTTAATCCTCATGAGTAATGTGTAAGTCATTTTCAATAAATTTCTGTAAAGAACAACTACAAATATTTATCATCCTAAAAATATTTATTACTGAATTGAGAATTACGTGTTCCATAATCGACTAACAAGGAAAAAAATCGAGTTGATTCGATGCACAGCTATAAACAGAAAATCGTTTTGAAAAACGCTTACTCGGCGTACGATCGTCGGAGTGTCGTATTTTTTTATGTCGAACATAAAGTTAATTTCACCCAGAGATGCACGGCGCAGGGGAGCGGATAATACTACTACTACTAACTTATAAAACTCGGTCATTTTCATAAAAAGGGATTTTAGTATTTCCTTTGATATTTAGGTTAATTTAACTATGCCTTTATGCTGACATTACTGAAATTACATATTATTTTTATCCTAAAGATTTTGAAATAATAAACGATTACATTTTTTTATTACAAGCTTTTGCCCGCTACTTCGTTCTTGTAGATTTTTGGTATAAAACTATCCTATGTCATTTCTCGAGTTCCAAACTATGTCTGTACCAAAAATAACAGAAACAGGTTCAGTAGTTTAGGCTTAAAAATAGACAGACAGACAGAGCTACTTTCGCATTTATAATATTAGTATAGATCTATGTAGATTACATTAGCATTTGTAAACATCGCAATCTACACGAAAACAGAAAATTTCAACGTGAACATCTTATATTTGTGAATAAAATTCTTCAGTTCAATACCTTCAATGTGCTAGACAGAAAATACAAGAGCGCTTGTCACCGAAAGAAATTGGCATCGTAAAACGTACGTGAGGTGGCCTAGGACTTGCATCCCGCACATAAAATGCACAAATACCTAGCTACTGAGGCAGCGACTGCCTCCTAATGTAGCGTTATGTACTGGTCGAGCGACATTTTAGAGCTCTTGGAAATATCGTCCCAACTGCAATTTGTATATGATGAGCTTTTTAGAAATATGTGGTTCGTTTGTTGAAGAATGAGAGATATTATGGCTTGAACTACATAAAGACTTTTTTAAAAGGTATTTAAGATTTTTTTATTTACAATTTATTCCTCTCTTTTTATGTCTCTTTGTATATAATACGTATTTTATCATAACATTTCACATAACCCTTTGACTTCGGACCGTATCGCCAGCCTATTTTTGCCTCTAGTGTTAAAATTATATTATAATTATCACTTCGTTCTCTCTCTAGAAAATAGTAGTTGTCCTCACATTCATATTAGTTTTGTTAATGAGTAGACAAGATACTGTTAGGATATTTCTCCTTTTTAATACTTTTCCCGGAGATTCACGACTTCACGACAAAATTAACTCGATCAATTCCAAAGAAAAACTTGAATGTTCCAATAAAAAACTTTAAAATAAGATACAATATTCGAATGTAAACAAAACACGAATGAAATAACGAACCAAATGTGCGGTGAAATCGAAAAATCAAAACGGATACTGTCATACACAGCATGTTGTTATTTCGAACACAAAACGTTTAAATCTGGAATGAATATTAACCGAATGCTATCCGATACGACATATTGGCTCGGATCAAAGTTTTAAAAGCATTTCAAAACACTCATATGCAACGTCTGATATTTTGCAGGTCAGCGATAAAAAAGATTGAATAAAGTTAAATCGGGAAAATTTTCCAACCAATGAAGCAACTTTTAATAAAAGGATGCAATATTCAAAATTGGTTTAATGACGACCGAATTTAATCAGCCTTCCATTAAGACCTTTTTAAGCCATCTTTTGTGAAAAATGTGTCGATAAATAACTTTTCGAGGATCCCTTTAAAAGGAAAGACAAAGGAAGACCCTCGTTATTATATGAACCCAAATTATAGGAATCATATTTTGGGATCAACGCTCTCAGTTATATATTTGTATGTTTGCAAGTTAGTGCCTTGTAGCTCAACGGGTTCCATCGCGACCCCAATCTTAATAATTTGAAAAGGATACATCCCTTACTATTTTTAGGGCCCTGTTGACGAATCAGACAGATCCTTTGTATGTCGTACGCAGAGACACTGCTGTTTGACGTGTGAATAATTCATGGTGAAATCAAGTTTTCGCAGTAATAAGTGACCCTTCCCAAGTCCTCGGATACAATGTTACCAGCTTATTTTTGCCTTCTTATAAATCATTGACAACTCCATCTAGCTGTACTGTTCAGTATATTGGTAGGTCCTTATTCTCAAGAGATTTAATCGAATCTAGTTGACTTTATTGATTTTCGATCTGTTATTTTCAACATTAGTTAGTTACTTATTGAAATAGATTGATATCAGCATCCTTCTTTTGAGAAATATTATAATTTTTAAGAAAAGTTATAGATTATTTTAATCAATTTATTTTACAAAATTATTTTAATGTTTATATTGGTAGCAGTTATGTAAAGGCCGGATTTAAGCCTACATGTGGTGTTTTCCACAATTTAATACCAAATATTTATATCAAAACTTGGCTATTAATATTCATAACATCTTCTAACACATACAAAAGGCTTAAAACTGTAGCCGACATAAAAGGTACATTCACAAAGCGAGACCTGGCTTAAGCCTAAGCAAACATTCATAGTTGGAAAGAGCCACACATCACTCACGATAGACACTTGACAAGCTACAGTATACCTATAAAAATGTACTTACCGCCTCAGTGTGAATAGGATGAACAGCAAACAAGATGGCGGCTACAAAACTCGCGAACTCCGGCAGGAACATTGCACACACCCTGTAACAGAATAACTAGGTCACTGGATGGATAAACAGGCTGTATGTGTCGCGGTCTTATTTTTGTTCGTACACTATGCTTAGGTACCTACTGCCTCATTTGTCCACTGCTTTTCATTGTTACTGTTTACTATGAGAACTTTGGTTCTATTTATTTCCGAAACGAAAATACAACATGCACAATAGGTCGTCGGGCCCAGTGTTGGAAATTTAATACGGTTGTTTTTAACTAGCCAAATTGAATACTTTTATCGTAATGTCAAAAGCGATACCCTGCTATGAAATTGCAAGTTATGACGTCAGCAAATGAGTTTATATTATTCCTTAAATTACAATTAGCCAGAAAATATCGACAATTAAGTGTATCGACAGATCAACGAATGAAAGTTAAATCTCTTTTTTTCAGTGTAATATGGTATTGAAACTTGTAAGTATTTTATTTTTTACCGAGAAAACTTAACAATTATTTCTTCTCTCAATAATTTTAAAATAGTTAATTCTACTACAATATTATACATGTGAAAGTTTATAAGATTTGGTTGTGGTATGCAGATGGGTGATATTTTGGATTAACACAAAGGTCGCTTTTTATCAACACACCATGCAGGCCAACCCGCAGGCGGAAGCTAGTTCATCATAAAAGCTGTTTTGTAATCACAATTCTGAATACCGTTTAAAGAAACGATAAAAATGTCCAATTGAAAAAACGAATCCTATAACAAACCTACGAGACCTGTGAAAAAACGGGACTGATGTTTACAATTGGCGAGTGGAGTTATTACCAATCAAGAACAGTATGTCAGTGGTATCAGTTACAAATTGAACCGGTACTCGATTGATGTTTGAGGGAATGGATTGTAGGTTTTGTAAAACGTTTGCGGTGTACTCTGAAACGTGTGTTCCAGTGAAATATGGATACATAAACAACAATGATCTGCGGTTTGTCTGAAATGCTTGTTGTCTATTCTGTAGAGTACTTCATTATTGATTATTGGGAATTGCAGTAGCAAATAGTAATACATATATAGTCACAAATAATTGAATTGTTATTACAAATTAAGTTGAACAGGACTTGGCTTGGTTTTACGATGGAAGAATTGCGTAGAGAGACTTGGCTCTTTTTACATTGAATGTTTTTGGTAAGGATCATTAATATTATTGATTATTCAGAATTGCAGTAGCAAATAGTAATATGTAGTCACAAATAATTGAATTATTATTACAAATTAAGTTGAACAGGACTTGGCTTGTTTTTACGATGGAAGAAGTGCGTAGAGAGACTTGGCTCTTTTTACATTTCATGTTTTTGTTTAGATACTATTTTTGTGAATTGCAAGTAGTAAATGATATAGTTATAAAATATTGATTTGTTATTACCAATGAAGTTAAACCGGACTTGGCTTCTATGGGATCTCAAAAGTTATTACGATGGAATTGCGTAGAGACTTTTGCTCTTTGAATTCAAAACATTGAATGTTTTTGGTGAGATATTGATTTTTGTAAATTACAGCTGAATTGCAATTGAAAATGTGTATCTTCGTTTGTTTATTTTGTAATTTCAGTCAATACAATTTTATATTCTATTAAGTATGACATATTTTTTGTTGAAAAAAAAAACAATGATCTATTAAAATATATTGATTTGATGATGTGCTTAATAATAGACTTTTAATTATTAACTTTTTAAAAATGAGTATGCTGATTGACGTAATATTGTGTTGCCAGCCTTGTTGTTGTAATATTGTGGGTTATAAGGAATTTAAGGATAGAGATTTGAGGACTGAGAATTGAGGGGGTTCACCCAAAGATTAGACTAGTAACGAATGCTCATGGCTTTAAGTACACCGAATGTACAATATTTTATGTCATGAAGCTTACAAATAAATGAATAAATAAACCTTCTCAGAATCATCTCAAATGAATATCCCAAAGCATTTAAGCATTTAAGACATTAGCAGACCTAGCTCTTACATTAAAAAAAGTCAGAAAACGTAATTGTTAGCGTTTCCACCGCTTTATTTCTATTCGGTAAGCAGCGTTGAGCCGTGAAAACTTTTGTGGTTTCATTTTGCACGCACGCTCGCACGTCAGACCGCTAAACTTTTAATAGACGGATTTTTATGTTTACTTCCATATGGAAAACTTTAATGACTTGTTTATAACGGATTAGTACGACAGCCTGGGGTGAAGTTTGATTAGAAATCACTTTATGGTGTTTTTAGGCTTTGTTATTTGAAATAACTTGGATTTTTATCCAGATTTGGCCAGCGGCTTCGCCGTTGTAAAAAGATAAAAAGGGTGAAAAAGCATGACGTGAAAGAGTAACAAACATCCAGCCATCCTTATATACTTATTTTTGTAATATTTCTATAAGGCAAGTAAAATGCCACATAATCTTTATCAATCGGTATTTTCTTGCAAAAAACCTTCTGTTTGGTAAGATTTGTCGTTTTCCTACTCTCTCAAGTAGAATAGAACCTTTTTCAGTCGGGCACCATCTACAACGTGTGACATAAGTGATGTCCGATCGAAGCCAAGTTAATGTCGAACGTCACTTAGTAATATCACCCGGGATCGGTGATGTAATGCCCTCTCAGAGGCGAACGGAGTAAATTAGGCGTCATAAATTGGCCACCCATCACATTGACGATGCCGTCGCCATAATTTAATCACACGGATCGGACGATCATGTCATTATCTTTACCGCACATAGCTTCCAAACGTTTATTTGGACAAGTTAGCTTTGCGTACAAATTGGAAGCGCAAATGGCAATCAAACAGAAATAAACGTTAAGTTGCGTTCAATAAAACACAAAATACAAAGTAACAAGATACTAAATTGAGAAAGTTATAACAGAAACGGAACAGGTAATAACAACAAACCGCTAGGGACTGTCAACTCAGTTATCAACACCACTTTAAAATTGAGTCGACAATTTTTATCGTCGTCTGCGCTCTCGTGAAATATATAGCGTAATATGTACGTCCAGACCATGTGAATTGTGGAAGTCGAATGACAATAATTGGGCAAGTTTGTCCGGTGGCGCCGCCGCGTGGCGTGCGACCGCAACTTTGCCGCAGAGGTGGAACAACGGCTAATTGAGACTAACGCGGCGAAGGTGCTCCCGACGGCTAACTTCTGCCGGAATTAAGGCACTCGTTAGTGACTTTTTGCGAATCTGACGAAATCTCTTGCCAAATTGTTGAAAAAACATTTATGGATAGTTTGTTCGCGAAGCGCGCACCTAATGAGCTACTCTCAATCGATACGCCTTTGACGGCGATAGCGACTTGTTTCGTAATTGTGACGATCTGTTTTATGTTCCTCGTTTTATATAGAAAGTTTTAATGAAACTACTTGAACAACTTAGCAGACTAAACGGCGTACAGGAATCTTAGTGGAAGTAACGTTCGCTGTAAAAAGTTTAATCATATTTTTGATGTGAAACTCTTTTTCGTATTTAGCCAGTCTTTAGGTTATATGTGTGTCTTAATATGTACAATAATTTACTTACTTGAAAGAGTTTAATTAATAGAACAAGAACGTATTCGATATTCAGTATTACAGGTATTATTTGTATTGCCTAAGACGTTTGTTGATTGTATTTCTGTGTGGGTGGTTATATGTAATTGCTAAATTAATTATATTTGCATGGTAATCCTAGTTGTGCATAGTAACAATATATTTGATCCTAATTAGCTGATAATTATACTAATGGTTCGGTGTAGTCTGGATAACGTTATTGCCAAATACAAGTAATTTAATAATCAGAAAATAAAATCTTATTCGCCATTTGATTCCGTTTTTTTATTTACATGGTAAGTCCATTACGTATGTAAATTGTATTATTTCGTAATTGGCAGGCGTTTTCAATCACCTGTGGTGGTAAGTATAATTAACCATTAACAATTAGGTACAAATAGTTTGTCTTTACATTAAAACCCTTTTACGTTTAAGTGACTAAATTCCTAGTCTTCATCTTAAACGTATTGCTAATAGTTCAGATTAGGCATTGACCAACGAAAATATGTGAGACTTCTGTTCAACAAAAGCATTCTTCATGTGCCTTATTACAATTAAAGGGCGAAATTTTAACACTAGTTATGTAGACAGGTGGCCTTGTAAAACACGTGACCGCTTAACTGAACCTATATGGTGGATTGCGAGGGGGTCGGGGTGGTGAAGAGGGGCAAGGATGCCATACAGTAATGTGTTACGTGACGTTCCAGACATAATAGCTTCATTAATTAGTCCCAGTATCATTACTATGGTTATTTTTCTCTGGCCAACCACGATAAAAGAATTATTCAGCAAAATAAAAATAATATTTCAAACATTAACCTAAATAGAACTTTAATATCAAAGAACTCAATTTAGAATGTAACTTTAATTACGTTAAAAACTTAATATAATACCTAAAGGTTTCTCGTAAATCCATGTTGGCAAGTAATATTATAAAATTAAAGAGAAAGATCTAGTTCCTTCAAAAGAAGCCGCCCACGACTTCCACCTACGACTATTTCTATCGGAGTTCCTTTGAATTTATTACCATAACACCCGATTATACTGATCTTTTTATCGATAAAGTGTTGTTCACTCGGAATATCGATTACGCTAAAATTGTTCATGTAGGGTTACTCTGCTAGGAGCTTGTCGCGTCGCTGACGTAGGTACAAACAGCTTGTGTAGCACTTACGTAGCGCTGCGTAGCCGGTGTCGTAGCACTTGCGTAGCGCTATCGTAGCGATTATTAAAACGTACTCTCTACGTTGTTCAATAATTTTCAATCTACATAAAATGGTTAGGGGACGCACTTGCAGCTTCCGTGAGCAGTCAAATGAAATAATCAGATTACCACAAAAACATCAAAAAGAAAATGTAGCACAACATGGTTCAAACAGTATACACAGATGACGAAGTAATTGTATAAAGTATTCGTTAAGTCGGAAACGGAATTTCAGTGAGTCCTTTGGACTGAAATAGCAAAAATTTTATATGTATGACTTAATCAAACATTCTATTACTATGTAAGTAATAATTAAGTGGATTATATAGCAAGGCGCTGTTATTCCCCGAAGGCATAGTACGCCAAAATTACGATTATAATTTCTAAGTAACATAGGGCGAGTGTATAGCTGTCCAGACTCCGGGCTACCGAGAATTTCGTAATGGAAAAACCCAATAACAATTTGATATTCGACCGTAATTATTTTAGAATTAAGCTGTCAAACTAACAACGATGTTATCAGGTAGCTAAACGATAGTTAATTACTTGGGAAGTGGATTGCCTAACGATGGCAATTCGCGAAAGGCTATGGTGACCATCAGAGACATCGCGTGACATACACTACGCTTAGTTACTTACTTAGGCGCAAAAAATACGTGTGATTTGCTGCAAATACATACGTTCACGACACATACAAGGAGTTCTCAACACTTTTCCTTGGTGAGGATCAGCTTTATGTTGTTACTGTTCATTATAAAAAACCAAACCCGACATTAAGTAAAGAAATAAAATTTGGAATGCGTTCGTTTTTTAAATTTAAAATTGACTCGTAACGTAGGTCAGATTAGGCTCATCTCAACAAAACAGGAGTTTTCTTGTTTCTTGATTAGCGATGGCGTGTCGGCCAGGATTCTTTTTATTTTTTTAATTTACTTTAGTGAGTCCCTAATGGCTGGAGACACTCGTTCACTGTACCAGAAATTTTCCGTAAACTTCATTGAGGCAAATAGGTACGAAATAAAAACGTAAATACGTACTTAGCGTTCTTATTTGTTTCCGAAAAAATAAACTTGAATATAATTACGATAACACTGCGTCTTGGTGTTAATGTTCTTAAAGTAAAATAAATAGTTACACAAATATTTTCTTTTTTTCTTTTTCTAGTTATTTCAAAATAGGTTATTATACAAACGAATCTATACTAAACTTGCATTCTGCCATGAACGTATCGTGTTGAGGTGGTTTCTTCTGATAGGTAACGGGCCTGTCTATCATTGGACAGCGGATATCGCGTGTGCACTAGAAATAGGTGTGATTTACGCTTTATTGCCACTCACTGACACACACACAGTGATAGAGCAGTAATTGGATGGAACTTTACTGTTTAAAATATAATGCAGCTTAATACGCTTTGTTCCAGTTAAGTTTTTTTATGTTTTAGGTCGGTAATCGAGCGCATTACCGATAGTGAGCACAGCGTCTCCCATGAACATTCGCAACACCAGAGCAGTTAAAGGTTGTGTTGTTTGCGGTTTCAGAGATTTGAGATTGGGGAGAAATGGCGGTGAGGAAGGTTTGGACCTCTAGTAACCTCACTCACACGGCGAAACACAACGCAGTTATGTTTTCAGACCCTCGTAATAGAGACAAAGCCTCATGTCATATAGAACATAATTCCAGATTTTATTTTATTAAATGGTTTTCACAGAATTTTTCAACTTAGTTATTCAGAAACCAGTTTTAACCAGTTTCGTCTGAATGTAAACATTTTGCGGAGCTACTGCCATTTGCATTCTAGGGATGAAATAGCCGTGATGTTTTCAAATGTGAAAGCTTTCCGTTGACGGCCGTTTCAGGTTTCAAAGAAATGTTCCAAAGGTTGGGCTACTCTGTTTCTGACATTAGTTCCCTACAACATTTCAAGTATTTTAATGGAATAGGAGTTAGTACTTTCAATGTTCCTAGAACAGTAACGTAAAGTGCTATTCCTAAGAAATTATTTGAAATAGATTTGAGAATAGATTGGATTTCTACTTTTACGTATTTTGTTATTCATTTCTACTATTTCAACGCGATGAGGATTTCTTAGAAATGTTGACTAGTTTAAGTTTCACATTTTAAGTTCACCAACTCAATTCATTTAGTTTGAGTTTATAAACGACTAACGACCAGTCAATCAATCCATTACTTACATAGACTTCTTTTTTTTATTCTTATTTTTTAAAACCTAGCCCCATTCTAGGATTTTCTTTAGTGTCATGTGTGAATCGAACCTGTGACACATTGCAAACCAGCGAGTTGGTCAGCTGCTGTGCCAACCCTGCTGCATTCTACTATACTATAAAACATTTAGTCCATTAACGCGTTGAACGCTGCCACGCTAGCGGAGGATTTAACCTCAACTGTAATCTATCAGCAGTCAATGATTTAAGTATGCGTAAATTTTGCTTTTAAACTTGTGGAATAATGGACTATATGTTTCTTACAATGCAGGTTAAATCCCAGTCAAAGTCAGTACTGCAGATACTGGGTATTTTCCTGTCACGTTCAACATTTTTGGTCGTCGTTAATCGGTAACAGGCAGTTAAAGTTTGGTAACTGCAGCAGTTTGCGCTAGCACGAATAACTTCATGTCAACATCCACTGAGCAACGAATAGTTAATACTTTTTCATATACAGACTATTTCTATATAACTCTCAATTTGGCAGTAATAAAGCTGTGCTTTTGTAAAATATTTGTTCTCGTTTTTTGGCTAACCAAAGCTTTTGGCAAGCGTTTCTGGCTAGGAATGCGTGTGAGGATATTTCTGTTAGTCTCCGCTTTGCAGTTTGATTTTGTTAAGCGCCTGTGAAATAGGAATCCGAAATGGCATTTTGTATTTGTTGCAGCACAATTTAGTTATAAAACTTTTCAAAATAAACTAGCTGGATATTTTCTATGTGGGTTATTTCATTGGAATAGAATTTTGAATTTGAATACTAGCATTTTTGACGTAAAAGAATTTTTCATTAATTTTTGTTTTAGATGAATAGATATTTTATTACCTCACTAGCCAAGCTTTTGTCTACATTGAAATAGTCAGAAAATTGTCTTATATTCCTCCACACTGCGACACATTCAATAAATAGTTCACAGACAAAAAGGTAACCATAGCAACGCAAAGGGAATGCGCACTCGACCACAATTCCTGGAAAGTTAATTAAGATTTATAAAACCGGATTCACAGAGGAAAAGCAATATAAAATAATGACCGTAAAGCGTTTTATTTACTTGAAATTAATTGAAAAAGACTTTGCTTGATGTTAATGACTTTGCAATATTATTGATTAAATAATTTAAGGTGTAAGTATAGGAAAATAGTCGGACAGAAATTCATGATACAGGTCGTCTAAGAACAAATGTTTCTCAAAAAATATCTATCATTATGTATAAATATTGTTGTGTTAATGTAAATTGTTATTAAACCTTCAAATTAATGTTAAACTGGCAAACAATATTGATCAATCGATTTTGTATTTTATAATTAAAATCTAGTAAGTAAACAAGTGTTAAGTAAGTAATCGGCACTTTATTCTTTAATATTTTATATAAGATTTTTGAGGATACCCTCACATTCGTATTTTCTCTGTCCCCGCTTAATTGTACGCTGTACGACTGCTAACTACTAGTACTGGACGACCCACGGCTGCGTCCGGTTCCGCGTGTGCCCGCTCTTTTACACACTTTAGAGTTGCCACGTGACCGCTTTCTGGTGTGGTTATAATCCTTACCCTTTCCCAATTCCTCCCCAATCCCAAAACCTCCAAATCCCTAATCCCCAAAAGGTCGGCAACGCGTAACTCCTCCGTTGTTACGGGTGTCCATGGGCGACGCTGATTGCTTTCCATCAGGTAATCCATTTGCTCGTTTGCCGACCTACCACATAAAAACACACAAAAAAAAATCTAAATATAACGTTAATTTTTTCCTAGATACAAATTACTCAAAATATTTTGAATAATGATTCGGTGCGTGATTTGTCACTGTTGGGTTGGGTGTAAGACACAAATTTGAATTAACGACAGATACTCGGAAAAAGTGAGTGTTCATCACTTTCGCGCACACCCTTCAACCTCCTTTGACAAATGAAGTGTTGGAGTAACGCGTCGTTTATCTTACTCGCGAACCGAGATGGAAAAATATGCTATAAATACAGAAAAAATACCGATAGATACGACTACATATACAATTTCCCTATTTATTGTACACAATGTGATATGACCTTAATATTTCTTTGAAAGAGTTTGACCTAAACACACAAAACATATCGCCTACTAACTGACGGAAAGTGGTGGGTGTCTTCTACACCCACTTCTGTCTTTGTTGCGTTATTAGTTCCAAGTATTACTAGGCGAGGCTTGTTGCCTTGGCTGGCCGTTGCTTCCAATAATTTTTTTGACGCTTGTTCCAACTGTGTATTCTCAACCGTTGACGTTTCGTTTCGTTTCGTTTTTAATAAATTACAAAAAAAATACTGAACGGTTGGTTAGGTGGCTGCATGGGCAACCGGACAGCGTGTCGCGGGATAAATTTTTTTTTTAATGTAATTGGTATAAAAGCGAGCATACGGATTACCTGATTGTAAGCAATCAGTGCCGCCAACGCAGAAGTCACGAGTGCGTTGCCGACCTTTTAGGTATTATGGATTTGGAGATTTAGGGATTGAGGAGGGATTGGGGGAGGGGAAGGATTGGGCCTCCGGTAACCTCACTCACACGGTGAAACACAACGCTGTGGTTATTTCACGCCGGTTTTCTGTGAGGCCGTGGTATCACTCCGGTTGAGCCGACTCATTCGTGCCAAAGCATGTCTCTCACACACTTAAATTCCCGCACACACCACACCATAACCACAAATTGTTGTGCCTGGTTTGGGTGTCATGTGTATGTAAAATTGTATGTTTGTAACCGCACCCACAATACATGAGAAAATCTAAATGTGGGGTAACGTTTAAAAAAATCATTCTGCCGCCTATAAACCTTCATCTTTCATTGTTTTAGGTTCGTGCACTACAAATGACTCCAGCTGCGGATAAACAGCGGAACAATACCGTCCATGTTTTCCAAAACACGACCAAAGCAGCGCCAAGACCGAGTTTCATCGATAATTAAGCGCCATTCGTCATCGTAGCCGAACCCTCGACAATCACGGATTGGCCGACTCACATATTGGCCTAATTGGTAACACGCCTGGGCCTCGCCAACGCTGCGCGCAACCACATGGCAATCAATCAAATAGACATAATGTATTCATTGATGACGTCACCATGAAACGAGAAAAATACGGAAGCAATAAAGAGTATGTACCAGTAATGGTACCCGAGGGATCGCAAATCGTCACAGCGGTTTTGTTCTTGTCATATAACTTTTATTTTTCTATTTATTGCTCTCTTTTGTTTGTTCTTAGGTTTATCTTCGCGGGCGATTTATGTGTGTTGTATGGCTTGGAGCGGTTACAGGTTAACGGCGGGTTGTGACGTCACGTACTTACTTCAAATGTCTGAATTATCTCGGTGGCGTGCTCAGATACATAATATATACTTCAACGGTAAGATATATATGAAAGCGCGAACTGCGAATTTATACACTATCGGCTTCTACCAGCTGCCTCTTTTGTTGATTCGAAAACGAAATAAATGTTTTTTTTTATGCTTTTTCTTCTCGACAATAATATCGTATGGGCAGTTTAGTTTACCTAAAAGGGGATAAAACTTGCAAATATAAAGTCTTTACACTAAAACGTTTTCATAAAACTGAGTAAAAGCAAATATGCGTATGTAAATGCAAAACTGTACGTAACGTTTAGGTTTTTTACGGTTTTACCAAATAGGGGGCGCTGTTACTATAACTTTTTTGTCCTTTCATCTGTTTCATTACATCTGTGCTTCCATACCATGTGTTATGTTTAGTCAACGATTTGTTTTCTACTGAACCACAGTTACATTATGATCACGAAGCGACACGGCCGCATACAAATAATAATTATACGTATCTAGGGAGTTTTAATTAATAAATGGCTCAATTATTCCTGAATAACGATACCCTCGCATTACGACTAAATTAATTACTAAATGTAATTAATTACTCGCATGCATGAATAAGACAAAGCCGGCACATAACTATATGACAGGAGATGTACGGGTACTATGAAAAACTAATTTAACTCCGCGGTAAAAAGTTTTGCGCGCTCTCCTGTGCCGGTTCTCTCGCTCCATTACGTTATGAATGGCCCAAACAGCCTTCGTGTCTTACGTAACAAATTCCCTTGTTTGCCTATTCCCTTACTTTGGCTCGAGTTGCTTTGATTATGATTCCGATGAGAATTTAACGGTTATATCTAACGTCCACGAATATTTCATTAATTAATATTTACGTTATTAACTCTGCCTACTGTTTGCTTGGGTAATTGCTCTGTTCTCATGTTCCCCCTTGAGCCAGGTTTTTATATCTTTCAGCTAGCTTGTTTACAGAAAGTCGGTTCTTTAATACATTGTGTTTACGTGGTCCGCATCTATAGGGCCAGTAACGCAGGTGAACGTAAGAAGTTTTATATTACAACATGCATTACTTTCAAATTAGGGTTTCCGCATGCAAACGGCAGCGAGCCATGAATTCGAAAGTAATTCCATTATAAGTTTGAAGTTGAACATTTTCGAGTTGCAAATAATGTGGCAGCCTAAAATTTCCTCCTGATACTCTAATATGATTGGACTGAGCTCGACACTAAGCATATTAAAAACTTTTGAGTGGCGTAAACAAGTTGTTGACGTAATGCTATCGTGTACCTGCTTTGAACACGACAGGTATACGAATGGCCTCGATACAAGTCTGAACTTCAACAAATCAGAATGTTCAAACATTGATACAGCTTTGAGTGTGTCATTTGCGTGTGGAGTTTAACACATCCAGATACACTAGTAAAGGCCGTTAACGGGCTGTAGTGCTCCGTTTTGACTCCCTGCACTAAGCCCCAATGGATAGAAATACCGGCGATATTTGCCGCCCAGGAGCTATGTAAAGAACAGCCGAATATTTTCGGAACGTCAGCACATTTTAGATGAAACAATTCTAGTGTGCGCAAACATTTAGCTATGGTGTTTGTATCGATCCTGTGTTTCTAAAGGTACTCATAACAACTGTAAGGAGTGGCACACAAAAGCCAACCGACTGTATTTCCTTTTCGAAATACGAAACCGCCGTGGACTTTAGCTTAAAGTTTCCATTCACTCGAAGTTTGTTATCGAATCTTAATAGTTTCATGGGCGGGCTATCAAAGGGAAGTTGTAAATACATACATATGTACAAATGGAGACCGCACGACGTTCTGTAACTAGTCCGCCGGACTAGAATAATAATGAGAGCTCGAAAATCGTTAATAGGATTATGCTGGCAAATTGGATATTGAGCATAAGCCAGGCTAAGTTCGCGGTGGACAACAAGTATCCGTAATTAGCAGTAACTAAGGGGATCGGGTGAACGGTGCCTGATTAAAACTGGCTTAACTGGAGCAGTTGGTGGCCCCAGGCAGCGCTGCAAGCCTGACCCAAATCGTAACTACTTATTAATGAAAACAACACCGCCCTCCTATTACACTCCTGTTTTAAAAGCAATAACAACCAAATCAAATGTACATTGCGAGATCGTTTACATTAATTAATTATGTATTTAGAGCTACAGTTAACTTTCATGCGATCTTAATTGGAGGTCGTTTGTTTTTTGGGTTCTATGTTGCTATAACAAGGAATTTAGGTCAATGTGACCTATCTTGAGTACCTACAGCCGTAATGTACAGTTAGCGCCAAAAAGTTTAGATTTTGGGAAGATATATTTATGATTGCAACATAGGAAAAACGAATGCAAACATAAAATTTTTGCCCAACATTTTCTCTGTATCAATCAGGATCGTACGTTAGCTGACTGCGATGCGTGCAATTTGTGTGGCACGATAACGAGCAACCTTGCAAAATAAAATCCTCGACACGACCGGGATTCACACCGCTCACCCTTTCTTGAACCCTCACACTGCAACGCGCTAACAATTTACAGCGCAAAAATAAATTAAAACACACTCACTGGTGCTGTAAACAACCTCAAACCTTCCGATCAAGGGTATATTGTATTGAATAATTAAATAACCCGCGCCTACTTCGGCTCAAACAGTGGATTATTGAGTCCTTACAATTAAAAGTTTTGCTATTCAATTATCAATTACGGGTTAACAACGTCGGTCAACTCTGATTGGACTTTCATATTAATCAATGTTACGTCATTGTGAGACCCACTTGATATAGTCTACTTAGAAATACGCTTTATATAAATATATGTATGGATTCACCAAAACAATGACTGAAACATAAGACCGTAATTACATAGTTGTCTGGGTCTACGATTACATTAGAATTTTAGATGAGAAACGGATAATTGGTACTTATACTAACCACTTCTATGATAAATACAAAAGAAATATAAAGCAACGAAATTAACTAGGTAACTATATACTTATGTAAAGGTCACCTTTAAACAGTACGTTTGTAAATAGGTCGAACTATTTATAAGGTGAATAAAATCCATTTGGGGAATAAGTTGTAATTGATAATGTATGCATCCATTTTTTAGAACTAGCGACCGCTATGGCTTTGCACGTGTGCAACGCTGATACTTAATTTATCCACTATTTGACGGATGTTATTATACATGTAAATCTTCCCGTTCAATCAATCTAATTGAAATAAAAATTCTCCAACCAATATCCATCTCATTTAATTTAAAATAAATAAAGATTTAAGCATACATAGGGATATAGAGACAGAGACAGCGACTTTGTTTTATACTATGTAGTGAAGAAATAACCAGTAACCGGTCTTCTCCAATTAAAATCTGACCCTGAGGGTGAATAAATATGAAATAATTATTCATTCTCTCAAGCACTAGAGATTTGAAAGCCCTTCTCATCCAATTAAGCCTTCCTGCGTTCTTTAATCAATCCCATTTAGGCGGTAAAGTCATTGGAGTTTTAACGAGATCTGAGTTTGGCCGTGCACTGCCGATTTTCTGTGTTATACAATCAAAAGTTGGAATTTGCTCTCACTATAAAACAAAAAGTTGAAGCAGAATACAGTGGAAGTGTGCGTTGTTATGAAAGTCAGGGAAATCTCGATAGCGACGCTAGCGTAATTACTTGTTACACTGATTTAGTTTGTGCTGCCTTTATACGTATAATTGCATATTATGTTTGCTGTAAGTATAAGCTAAGCGTGTATCATATGGTGATAGGTCATTTGCCATCGGTTTTGTTAAAGGATGGTGAGATTAAGCTTGTTGCTTATTGCTCACTACTTAATAGAGTAGTCCAATAGATTTGTCTAATTACATATATTTTTAAAGGGTAAGCAGAGTAGTATGTTTACTATAGAGTGTATACAAGATTAGTTAGGTATATTGTTTCATGTAAATGATTTTGTTATTGTACTCGGAGGTTTTTGTAGGTTATACACCGGCAAATAAACAGACTGAAAAGTTGATGGTAAGCAATCGGCCAATTAACATCCGTAACACTAGAGTGCAATGCCGGCGTTTTGGAGATTTAGAGATTGGGGTGGGATGGGGTTGTTTCTTGCTGGTTTTACTGTGAGGCCGGTCGAGCCGGCCCATTTGTGCCGAAGCATAGCTCTCACACACTTTGTTTGACTGAGCGTTTCTCCTTACCGATGCAAAGGGAGGGGTGGGTGCGTCTGACTTGAATCGATTAAAACCATTCCAATCACCTGCACGTCAGCCCTAGCCGGGGCACTAGAGAATGTTTCTGTTTTTAGTTTTAGCTTTTTTGGACCTTAGTGTAATGAAATAAAGTAGTTTATGATTAAAACAATACCTGTAATATAGTAGGGAGACGAGGGCATGTAACAACAAGTTCACGAGGTGGTAGCCTGCCGGCTGCAGCCCGTGGATGGCGTAGTTCCATCTGAAGGTCAGCACCGTCAACGGACGGTACGATTTGTGAGATTGTTCCTGGAAATAAAAAAATAACATATTGTTAGAAGATTTTATTGTTGATTAAGCTTAATTATAGTTACATTTAAACATGCCTTGGTCAGGACGTCTATCTTAATTATTATTATTTCTGCTTGGAAATAAATATACTTTTCGAATTATTTTTTCTCAGGCATTAAATTCCTTAATTAATTTCGCTATTCACTAGCGCGTGATATTGTTTATATTTAAACTTCGAATATAAAATCTGACTTATATTAATTTTAAAATAGTGTCAGTTAAAAACCTACTTTAAATAAATATTTTACAAACATTTAGCTTTTACTAATCATAACTACAATAATAAAAAAAGAAAAACATAAGGCCAAGATAACATTATTTAAAAATAGAACAATACGCGAATGTTGTAATTAATTCTTCGCAATGTTTTATTAGGAACCTTACATTGTCATTTTTATTTTTAAAGGTTAGAAGAAAATAGAAAGCTTTGATTTCAAAATAAAAATGGAAAACGTAAACGTTCGAAGTTTAAAGTTAAATAGTTATTAAATTAAATTCTTAAGAATTAAGTTTGAAACCACATGTGACCTTTTTGCTCGGTCATGCCAAAAAAAGGCAATGATGTAAAAAAGTTAACACATTCTAATTTTAAAAAACGAAGCGCCACGTTGTACCCTGTCGTTTGAAAAATAGATTAAGTTGAAAGAGTAAAACATGTTTTACTTTACAAAATACATCTGGAAGTCTGACTTTCATATATCCAAGCTAAACAAAGTACTCTCGCTGAACTTTTAGCAAGTTACTGAGAACCTACAAGTTTCGCATACCTAAGTATTACTTATCAAAGATATATGTGACTCGGTGGGATTTAAGTTTACTTACGTTTGGTTTCTATGGCATACGCTATACTTATTTGATTTCTGCCATCTGCGAAAGTGCTAGGGTGTGTGTAACTGTGTTTTTGTAGGGATGTGTGGATTGAATTAGAATGAGATTTAATCCGACCGACGCCTCAGTTTTTTATGTAATTGGTTCCCAAACGAGCAGTTGGATTATCTGATGGTAAGCAATCGGCGCAGACTATGGACATCTGCAACACTAGAGGAGTAACGAGGTGCCGGCCTTTAGGGGGTAAGGATTCCAGAGATTTAGAGATTTAGGGATTGGGGCCTCTGGTAGCCTCACTTACACAGCGAAACATAATGCTGTGATTGTTTAAAGTCGTGTTTTCTTTGAGGCCATGGTATCACTCCGGTCGAGTCCGCCCATTTGTGCCGAAGCATGGCTCTCCCACATTAGTCCTACTTTTCAAGTAAGTATTATACCTAAATATAAGTATGTAGGCCGTTATGTACACGCTTTGGAATTAGTTCGTGTCAACCATGTTCTATTTATAAAAGTTAATTTATATAATATCATGTCGTTGGTTATTGTTTTATGAATATAAACCACACGATTATAAGGCGCAACCACCACTCCAACGATATCGCCTGTAGTAGTATGAACTCGTTTGTTCTTATTAAAGTAAAACTGTCACAGGATGGTTCGTGGATTTTATAATAACGTTAATTGTAAAATGTTATGAAAATAACCGTGGTTGCATTTAGAACGATTCATGTTATTTTTTAATGTGAACAATATTATAAATGTCTAGCTTAATCCAGTATACCAAAAACTTATATGTATATACATAAAGCAATATATATTAAATTCGACCTATTTTTCACGTGTTATAATAATAACACATGAAAAATATATGAATAGGTCGAATGTTCGCTACGCACGTATGTAGGTATCACACGAGCTATTTGCCTAAATGATAAATAAATAAATCAGTTTTATAGAGCACGGAGTTGCACGCAGAAAAATGTGGCTGTCTCATAAACATGATTCATCGCCTAACAAAATTAGCAAGTGGAACGCAGGAATATGGGCGGCTTCTTCTTTAAATGAAATTCCATGTCAGGTGGTAGAGGTAGTGCCATAATGGGAGCACATTTATCACAAACAACAATATGGGTGTGCTAATAAATATCACTTGTCACAAGTCCCCAATCCTATTAGAGGTCTCTGCATAGCTCCGCTCCTACGTCGCTGCTTTTTCAAAAGTTTAATGACCGCCACAGTTTAACAACGGGAAACTTTGTCAGTTACCAAAATGAAAATTCAACTTTACAGAGTTATGCAGCCGTAAAATGTAATGGTATATTTTTATAGGATTACTTTTAAAAACAATGATTTACTGTAACGTTTATGGTGTATATAACAATTTGGAGTGCTGATTACGAAGAAGATGCGGAAATCCGCAAACAAGGTTCGCGGGAAAACATTTGTACGTGGCTACTTATTACGAATAAGCTGCGGGTCCTAGATTCGTGCGCGTAAACTTTCGGATTGGACCGTTTGCTACAAATCCCCCATGGATTATTGTCGTACGAAGTACTTTTACGATTGAATGCGAGGATCCTATTCAAGTTTGTACTATTGAGGGATAGGTGCGAATGATGAGTACGTAGCTACTAAATTTAATTGAGTATAGTTGGCTAACTACACATGGCAATGCATACTTAAGCTTATTTATTTCTATAGTTACCTAAAGAAAATATGTAAAAGTATGCGAGTTTATTTTATACCAGTTTTTATTGAGTGTAGAATGTTTTAATCCCTAATGTTAATCATTTATTGTTGGTTGAGATCCAGGTATTTAGTAGACACGGAACCAAAATTAATGACGTCACCGAAAATTTATCACTGGCACCAAGCACATTACATTTTTCATTTAAACCATTTTGTCCTAACTTCGACAATAAACTTGAACACAATTATACTTGCCTAATTATACCAGACTTTAAAAGCGTGCCTGAGGAATAATTATCAAAATAAATAAAGCATTTTCCCATGTCAGAAAAAAAAAACGTTGCAGAAATTTGAAAGAGCGTCTTAGGGATGTGTGTCAAAATTGTAAATGGCACGAGGTTCCGTACACCACGCAATACTTGCAGTTCGAACAATTAAACGGTCGATAATCTGGCATACAGCTTGCGGTCTGTGGTGTTCACTCATTAGTCACGGGAACGAATTGATGGGTTATGATAAATAATAGACAGCTCGGGAACAACGACCCCGAGGCTTCAGCTTTATATTACCAACAACCACACGAGTATAATACGTCACACATGACAATTCGCAAACGCACGAGGGGGAACGCTCAACCGAATACAGTTTTTTAGCATGTGTTAATGCGAATCGTTCTATTGTTCGTGTATAAATAACGATATAAAGGATTCTATGCTAGAATCAATTTAGTACGGTAAGCACATATGTAGCAGCTGGACGTTCAAATATTAATGAATTGTCCTCCAACCCAAAACGAATTAATGTTAATGTTTCATTACTGTTCAATAGTCGCCTACATTGTAGGCAACGAAAACACAAGCTATAATTGATAATTAATGGCTTGCCGGCCAAATAAAACGTGTAAATAAGATAAGTAAACCACTCCTACGTGCCGTGACCAGTAAATATTTTCTTTGTTTCTCTGTAAATACTATTACTTTTACTACGTGTTTACCAAACACTTCATAACTCGAACCAATCATAATAAAATCTAACAATTCAGCCTCTTTTTGTAATTGGCTCCCGTTTCCAAATTACTTACTGAAAATACAACTCAAAACAGACGAAAATAAAGAAAGATAAATTAAATCATTTAGACGGCAACCCTAGTGAAATGTAAACATTACATTCGCGACGGCATTCAGTAGTATTTGGCGTAAAGCGACAGGCAGATGGAGACAAATGCTTATATTTGTTCAAGAGATTAGTGTCTACCGCTGTCTGCGTGTAATAACAGCAGCTGAACGAAGGTGACAGAATCACTGGGCCTCGAATAAGGGTCGCCTTACATCGTCCCGCGCAAGGTCGCAAGCGATCAATTTCCAAACCATGTTTGCGTACGCGATACCTGATACTGTAAATTAATTTTGACTCCTGACCTTGTTGAAACTGTTAGTAGTTTATTAATGTAATCGTTTATCAATATGCCGCTTCGTTATGAGCGAGTTTAGCTTGTCAGTTTACATAAGGCGTATGTTGTCTTATATATAACCTATTTACTTGTGACGTATTCAATTCGAAGAAGATAAGCGGGGCTATGTGGAAATTTCGTGTACCCGAAATAATGTTGTCGGCGACATTGATCGCATAGTCCTTCCCGAAACGGCACAGTTTATGCAAAGTAAGTATACTGTTTCATTGCGGAGTCCGCATATACAATTTCCCCGGTAGCCGCCGGTAATGTGTAAATCGACTCTTACTGAACCTCGAGGCAGTTGAATGTGTATTTGTTAGTTGTTTTCGCGTTCTGTAGAAGCTTCAAATGTAATTCTTGTTGCGTGGGTAGACAATTTTTTCCTGTTTTGGCCGCCTATGAAGGGATTGAGAACAAATGTCGACATTTCTCATACTTAATAAAGTTGGTATATTTTTCGTGATGAGAATTCATGTACCCACATCTATATTAAAAAAACCCACGCGAAATAAATTTACCTGCGCTCGTACAGTAGTTATATAATAATCACAAAGAAACTTTTATCCAAAAACATTGCGAAATACTACTATATTGTGGGCTTGGGATTGTATGCCCAAGGCAACACAAGTTCGTTAATTCTTTAAAATATAAACATACATTACTATTTTTGTCTTGTTTTATTTTAATCACTTCTACGTATTCGTTGAGCAAAAATATGGTTACATTTTTTTAAATTCATACCGAATTATTAGTGAAAAGAATATTTGTTGTTATTACGAATAATTATCATAATAATTATACGAAAAATACATTTTGATGTTCGTTAGCGTTTATTATCTATGGGCAAAATATAATTATGTAAATGTATATTAAAATAACAGGCAAGAAATATTCAAATTCAAATCGTGTTGTTTCAGTAAATTATAAAATTGCTCTGTTAATTAATGTAAACTTAAACCGTCGAAAAAGTTATTCCCTTGGAGTACAAAGAATTGTTGTTTTTCGTAAAGGGAAGTAAGATGTCTAAAGCATGGTCCACGCCCAAAGAGCTGGCGCGGAAAAATCGCCCACAGCTAAAGGTCGCCTTTGCGTAATCCCTGGTTCTGAAGCACAGAGAAAAAAAGTAATTTAGTTCCCCGTAATATACCGAGATTGAGCCACGTATTAAATTTTAACAATTACGATGATAAATATACTACAATAATATTGTTTGTTTTGTATTGTATGTCAAAGTCATTAGGTTGAAATTGACTTATAGGTAATCTTAAGGCGGTGATTTGACGTAAATTTGATAATGGTTTGGTTAGCTTAAAAAAAAATCTGATACTGTGAATATAAAACTGGCCTGAAACAACAACTGCATTGAGTTTCACTAAAGGCCTAATCCTTTCAGTCTCGCCATACCCTCCTTATAATTAGAAATTATAAGTTCAGGTTTCTAAACAATGTTTTCTTTCACCGTAAGTCTTTTAAATCATAGAAAGTACATATAACTCGAAATAAGTCACATTGATGAACTTGCCAGGTTTTAAACCCTCATGCACGAGAAGCGGGCGTGTTAACCTCCGGGCCACCACCACTTTTAATAATTTACTATTAATCATATTTTCTACTAGATATTCTCCCGCGGTTTTACCCGCTGCTCGGCTGCGTTAGATCGTAGCGTGATGTTTTACCGTAGCCTATAGTGCTCAGGAATATTGTAGCTATCTACCAGTGAAAGAATTTTGGAAATTCGACCGGATCCAAAGATTACCCTTTACATACAAACTTACAAATTACAAATTTTACCTCTTAAACTTGTATGACAAAAACTTACTATGAACAAAGTATAAGGGTCTTTTATTCGTCCCGTTGCTCCCATTTCTAGCATATTGTAATGTACCTGTTAGTCGAATGGTACCCTCACGTAACGATGTGTCAGTTTTCCTTCAATATCGCTGGAGACTCCACGAAAATTGAACTTTTTTATTGATAACGCGGAAGGACTTCAAAATCCATGTCTAACAGAAACCATTGTGATCACACTTGTTTTCTTGAGGTGTGTATTGAATTGGATCTATCATTGGAATGTTTGTGACTTTAAATACGTGTGAGGTCACTCAGCTATGACAATAGTGATGCAGGTAATTGTGTCCTGTTGTGGATAGGAGACAAATACATTTTTTTTT